TCTTTCCCTCTCTTTCCTCCTGCTCTTCCACTTCCTGTCTTCCTTCCCCTCCTCTCTCTATCTTCTTTATCTTATCCCTCATCCATCACTGTCTCTTATACCTCCTCCTCATTTTCTACCTCCTTACTACTTAATTGCCTCACTTTAGTATGTCTCATTATCGTCCTCATTATCCATCGATCGTTAACTCTTTTATGTCAGTATCTCCTTCCCTCCAACCAGAGAGAACCAGCCTGAACACCTGAACACTGAACACGAAGCGCGTCGCAAGAACACTGTGAACACTCATTAAACGCCGAGACCCCACTGAACACGGGGACCCCAGTGAACACGGAGACCCCACTGAACACGGAGACCCCACTGAACACCCTCCTATAGAGCGCAGTGGCTTCAATCCTATAGAGCGCAGTGGCTTCAATTTTCGCCTCACACTTATGAGATCACCGGTTCGACACCCTTAGATTCCCAGCTGAATGAACCCCAACCTCCTGTTAAGATAGTCCTTCCTATAACTATGTTCTGTAACTTTTTGTAACCGTCTGACATATATTGACGTAGTTAATATATGTAAGATATGCAGCCGATGAGTCACAATAACGTGGCTGAAGTATGTTGACCAGACCACACACTAGAAGGTGAAGGGACGACGACGACGTTTCGGTCCGTCCTGGACCATTCTCAAGTCAATTGAGACTTGTTTCAATCCAGGACGGACCGAAACGTCGTCGTCCCTTCACCTTCTAGTGTGTGGTCTGGTCAATATGTAAGATATTTTTTAGATAATATAAAGTAATATAGATACTATAAAGATAATAGTAAGATAAATTCTAGATAATAGAATTATCTGCTTGCTTTATAGTCAGGAAAAATAAAGCTATAAAGAGCTACATTAGGCCTCAGGTAGTGTGAATTAGGCCTAGGGAGGTAAATACAAAAAAAAACTCTTCCGGTGTACCCCAAATTCAACAGTACTGATTTCTACTTTCTAACTGCTTACTACGTCAATATATGTACTATGATCCCCCATCGTTACTATAAGTACTTCCTAAACAGGAGGACGGACTGTCATATATACCTGGGAGATACTGGACGACCCAGTCCCAAAATTTGCACAATAAAATTACAATGAAATTTGTAGAATATGCAGAATGTACCCAGAATCTAGAGGTGTCATTCAGATGAACATCAGAGCACACAGTGTGAACATCAGAGCACACAGTGTGAACATCAGAGCACACAGTATGAATATCAGAGCACACAGTATGAATATCAGAGCACACAGTATGATATCAGAGCACACAGTATGAATATCAGAGCTCCACGGCTGTTCAACACCCTCCCAGAGAGCACAAGCAATATCGCCGGAACAAAACTTGGATGTATTCAAGTAACCAGCCGACAAAAGATGTTGTAAGGCGTGCCTGACCAACCGGGCTGTGATGGATGCGTGTAGGCATGCTGGAGGCCACTCCAAGCAAAAGCCCTCCAGACTGGACTTGCTGGGACTCCACCCTCCATGTATACTCCACGTATACTCCATGTATACTCCAGATATCTTGCAAATACGTCGTATTGGGATTCATTTTGAGGGGTAGGGAGTGCAGGGGAAGGGGATTACGGGAGGGTGAGGTGAGAAGGAAAAGGGAAAGAAGATAAGGGTAGGGGGAAAAGAAGGGTGAGGGAAGAGGTGTAATGAGACAAGAGTGGGGGAAGGGTGTAATGAGACAAGAGTGAGGGAAGAGGGGAGTGGTGTGATGATACAAGGTTGAGAGTAAGGGGGGGAGGGGTAAAGGAGCCATCAGAGGCCATACAAACAACCATTAGCGAATGAACAGAGAACCTGAGTGAGAGAGAGAGAGAGAGAGAGAGAGAGAGAGAGAGAGAGAGAGAGAGAGAGAGAGAGAGAGAGAGAGAGAGAGACGAGGCGAGAGAGAGAGAGAGAGAGAGAGAGAGAGAGAGAGAGAGAGAGAGAGAGAGAGAGAGAGCTCCCAAATTCATGTTCAATAAGCAGTTCTTCCTCCTTCCTGAAAATGCCACGCCCTCCCTCCCTCTATCATAGCCACACCCTTCCTTTTTCTATAGCCACACCATCCCTCTCCCTCCCCCTCTCTCAACATCCGGTAACCTCTTTCCTCTATATTACACCATTTCCGTACCTTTATCCTTTCATTTCCGCATTCTTTCCCCCCCCCCCCTCCCTCACTTCCTTCCTTAATATCTGCTGCTTCCGCTCCATCTCCTGTCCCTTCCTCTTCCCTTCTGCCTGCAGGAGGCCCTGCAGCTGGGGTGTGGCCTGCGACCAGGTCATCCAGGAAGGCAGGTAGCTAGGCAGGCAGGCAGGCAGGCAGGCAGGCAGACAGGCAGCCAGGCAGCCAGGCAGGCAGGCAGACAGGCAGGCAGGGCCAGGCAGGCAGGCAGGCAGGCAGGCAGGCAGCCAGGCAGGCAGCCAGCCAGCCAGGCAGCCAGGCAGGCAGGCAGGCAGGCAGCCAGGCAGCCAGGCAGCCAGCCAGCCACAAATGGCCCAAAAGACCCATCACTTACAAGCTTCAGTCTACCTTATATATATATATATATATATATATATATATATATATATATATATATATATATATATATATATATATATATATATATATATTATATATATATATATATATATATATATATATATATATATATATATATATATATATATATATATATAATATACAAGTATCACACATGTTTCCAACAAAGCCTCTCTAGGGTGGTCCGCCACACACACGGCTCACTAACAGCCTTAAAGGACATAGGGGCTATAATTACCGAGCCTTACGGCCACCAAACACCTCCGTCAGGTATTTCCGCGAAAATTACTAAACGCCAATGGCAAAAGCCTTTCGTTTCGAGGCGGGAATTGGGTCTCGACACCTGACCACAACAACCAATCACCAAGGAGTTTGCTTCATCGCTATTCTTTAAATGAACCTAATCCCCACCCAATCTAACCTAGCCCATAAATTAACACACCTAATCCTAACCCAATCTAACCTAGCCCCTAAATTAACACACCTAACCCCCAACCCAATCTAACCTAGCCCCTAAATTAACACACCTAATCCAACCCAATCAAAAATATCCTAACCTAACAAAAAAAAAAGAGTAGAAAATGAGGAGGAGAATACCAACTGGACCAAAAAAGTAGACATGAAAATAGAGATGAACGAGAACATGAGATGAGATGAGTCATGTTTCAAGGAAATTTTCCTACTTGGGTCCAGCTTAAGCTATGGCAAGGTAAAGTTCTAAGCCTTCTGAAAAGCTTCAGAAGTCACTAGTTTCTCCAGAAACAAATTCGTATATATATATATATATATATATATGTCGTACCTAGTAGCCAGAACGCACTTCTCAGCCTACTATGCAAGGTCCAATTTGCCTAATAAGCCAAGTTTTCATGAATTAATTGTTTTTCGACTACCTAACCTACCTAACCTAACCTAACCTAACTTTTTCGGCAACCTAACCTAACCTAACCTATAAAGATAGGTTAGGTTAGGTTAGGTAGGGTGGTTAGGTTCGGTCATATATCTACGTTAATTTTAACTCGAATAAAAAAAAATTGACCTCATACATAATGAAATGGGTAGCTTTATCATTTCATAAGAAAAAAATTAGAGAAAATATATTAATTCAGGAAAACTTGGCTTATTAGGCAAATCGGGCCTTGCATAGTAGGCTGAGAAGTGCGTTCTGGCTACTAGGTACGACATATATATATATATATATATATATATATATATATATATATATATATATATATATATATATATATATATATATATATATATATATATATATATATATATATATATATATATATATATGTATATTTGGTGTGTTGGCGTCACATGCTTCGAAAGGGTTCGTCTACTCTACACCTGTAGACCAAGTGTGTGGACACCTGGCGCCCACACCTGCAACAACCATGAAACCCACAAAAGGCAATAATTAATGATAAGTGTCCCCTTATAAATTATTCATGAAATTGCATGTCCTGTCTCAGTGACATTTAGCGGTGATGGACTTTGATTACTCCGGACCGGAAGATAGCGAAGCCCCCACGAGAGAGAAGCTGAGGTTAGAACGCACTGTCAAACCTTCGTAGAGCTTCGTGACCTGGCACCCAGTGGCACTGTTGGCACTGTTGACACCCTGACATGGCATCATTCATAGCAACCATGAAAATATACTTTCTGTGTCAATTTCCTGAACACGTTTAATACACCACTCACGCTAATCTCTGAGACAGCTGCACCACTCACGCTAATCTCTGAGACAGCTGGCCTGCGTTGCTTGGCCACTAATTGGATAAAACAAGTACTAATCGTCGCCAAAATGTATTAAACACGTGCAAGAGTGTGCATAACAGATGTCACAACACCTTCACCCAACATGTGCTGGTAATACCTGCTCCAGATGGTACCTTACTCTGCAAAGGCTAAATTCACAAATCCGATTCGCAAGTACTTACGAACGTGTACATCTTTTCTTAATTTTTTATGGCTTTGGTTACATTTATTAAACAGTTTACAAGCATGAAAACTTGCCAATCAACTGTTGTTATTGTTATAAACAGCCTCCTGGTGCTTCGGAGCTCATTAACTGTTTAATAATTGTAAACGAAGCCGCCAAAGATTGAAAAAATATGTACAGATTCGTAAGTGCTTGGGAAACTGCTTCGTGTGAATCTGACCCAAGGCCCATGGATGAAACAATGTTGTGTCGAGGCCTGGGACCCATTCTGCAAATACAGGGAGGAAGCAGAGAGACTGAACAAATCCACAAGCGCCGTGACGAGGATTCGAACCTGCGTCCGAGAGCATCTCAGACGCTGCCTTAATCGACTGAGCTACAACATGGGCAAGCCCTTGTGGATTTGTTCACTCGATGCATCACGCAATTGTGATTTCTGTGTGTAAAGGAGAGAGAGACATTGTTAGACCACGAGGAGTACTCACAGCCATCTCCTCGGAGCGGTAGGCGGTAAAGGTCGTCTCATCCTGCAGAAGTACGCAGAAGAAGGGTTCCCAGGTGGCCAAAGGCATCTTGTTCTCCCGTGCCGCATTGCTCGGACGATGGCAGACACGCACCTCTCGGTCTGTGGGGCCAGAAACCAAACACATATATTCAGTGTTTTGTACAGTGGGAGGAATAATGATTGCACAGCTTATACACAAGTGAGGGATAGTGACGCCGTCTGTGTGTAGGGTAGGGAGAGGCAGGTACTTGTAAACACCTGCCTACTTACCTACCTACCTACCTACCTACCTCTCTCTCTCTCTCTCTCTCTCTCTCTCTATAATGACCATCAAGTGATATGAATTTCAACTACATTAGCGATTAAGTATGGCAGTTTAAATTTACACATCATTAGTACCTGTCGTATTATACATATATATATATATATATATATATATATTATATATATATATATATATATATATATATATATATATATATATATACATATATATATATATATATATACCACCAAGTCACTAAACATCATAATATTTAACTCATATTTCAACAATAAATGAGGAAAATAGCCAATATTTTGGCCATCAAAAAGAGACTCGGTGCTACAGCAGTTCCTGCTGCAATTATCAACAAGTTTACATGTAACAGGACTAATTACCTGCAAAAAAATTATCAACAAGTTTACCTTCAACAATTATCATCAGGTTTACCTGCAAAAATTTGTTAACATATTTAAATGCCACAAATTACCTCTTGATTTACCTGCAATAAATATGAAGAATTTTCCTTGCCACAGTTACGTGTCAAAAAATTATCCACATTAGCTGCAATAATTATAACCAGAAAATGTTGTAATTGTTGGAGTGAGGCGTTATCTTGAGGTTATCTTGAGATGATTTCGGGGCTTTTTAGTGTCCCCGCGGCCCGGTCCTCGACCAGGCCTCCTGGGAGAAAGTGATGTACTTTCCTCCCAGCTTCACTCCCAGCACAAGGGAGGTCTTCCCAGCTCTCCCCAGCGCTGAGAGATGCTGAGACGTGCGCTGGGAGACATCACCAGATAAACAAAACATCACTTTCTGACGTCCCAAGAACACTGAAAGTTACGAGCGAGCGTCTTGATATTCCTTTGAACCTTCTAAATGATGTTCAAATGTCAGTGTTGAGGAAGGTGAACAAGCCGAGGAACACGGGGTGAACACTGATGATTCTAGTCAGGTCATCCTGATGCTTAAGCCGGGGATGTTACCATGACAACACCTTTGTAAACTGGACGCCTGCAGGGCTGGTGCTGGTGGATCTTTGATAGCAACGTCCACCCTCCCTATCCCCCTCCCCTATCCCCTCCCCTATCCCCTCCCCTATCCCCTCCCCTATTCCCCATGGTCCTCCCTACCCCTCCCTTTCCTCTATGACCCCTCCCTTTCCTTTTCCCTACTTCCTATCTTCACACTATGTATCTATCGCCACGCCTTGACCATTCTAATAACTTTTCCTTTCCTTGACAGCCCTTTCCCACCCTCTTCCATCCTGCTTGATCACCGCAACACTCTTCCACTAATCACTGCACTAACCATCCCACTAACTGCCCAGTCACTGCTACAGTAAACAGTTCGCCACTCCACTAAACAAGTGGGCAACCAGGCTCTTTAACCAACGTCATTTCACCGGGGTTTTGGAAAGCTTTCTCTTCTCAGGTGATCTCTAAGTGGCCCCCCAGGTGTGTTCGTATCACACACGCACGCACGCACGCACGCACGCACGCACACACGCACGCACGCACGCACGCACGCACGCACGCACGCACCTCAGGAATCTGTACACCAGTTGATTGACAGTTGAGAGGCAGGACCAAAGAGCCAAAGCTCAACCCCCGCAAGCACAATTAGGTGAGTACAATTAGGTGAGTACACACACACACACACACACACACACACACACACACACACACACACACACACACACACACACACTCGCGGGACCAAAGAGCCAAAGCTCAACCCCCGCAAGCACAAATAGGTGAGTACAAATAGGTGAGTACACACACACACACACACACACACTGGTAGCTGAGTAGCCCGGGTTCGATTCCCGGACCGGACAGAAACAAATGGGCAAACTTTCTTCCACTATGATGCCCTCTGTTACCTAGCAATAAATAGGTACCTGGGAGTTAGACAGCTGCTACGGACTGCTTTCTGGGGATATGTATATGTGTGTGTAAGATAAATATATGTAGTAGACATAAGAGGAAAAATAATTTGGTTAGATAGGCGGGGATACAAGAGATAATAGTTCGATTCTGCAGATACAAATAATAAATACACACCCTGGGAGTTTGGGCTCCTATGGGAGAAGGAGAGAAGTTGTAATTAGTGCAGCTCAGGTACATATTACGTGTCGATATTACAGGTAAGAAGGAAATAACCCAGGCACCTGAGAGTTGACAGAGCGAGTGGAAGCGCTTTGGTACGGCACCGTCTCTTAATCCACTTCTATTACGCTCATTTTCACACTTTCACTCACAGTGTCTGGAAGACACTAGTGCCGTCAGGTGAACTGTGTGTGGTTGTCTTGAAGTAGGCACTCTCTCTCTCTCTCTCTCTCTCTCTCTCTCTCTCTCTCTCTCTCTCTCTCTCTCTCTCTCTCTCCCTCCCCCCCTCTCCCTCTCCCTCTCTCTCCTCTCTCCATCTCCTCTCTCTCTCTCCTCTCCTCCACTCTCTCTCTCTCTCCCCCACATTCTTCCTGCTATAATGCATGTTTAACATTAAACTAATTAAAATGTCATAAAATATTAGTTCAGGTAAGCAGAACTCGGGGCGCGTCCTCCGCTGTGATTCATCAGGTTGTTGTTGTTGGTGTTATAAGGAACAGGTTGTGGGGTGGTGGTGGTGGTGGTGGTGGTGGTGGGGGGGGGGTGATGGAGAAGATAATATTTAATACATACTCTCGCAGAATGTTGTGTCTAACCACTTGGGCTGGACGGTAGAGCGTCGGTCTGGCTTCATGCAGGTCGGCGTTCAATCCCCGATCATCCATACAAGTGGTTGGGCACCATTCCTTTCCCCTCCCCGTCCCATCCCAAAAACCTTATCCTGACCCCCTTCCCAGTGCTATATAGTCGTAATGTCTTGGCGCTTTCCCCTGAAAATTCGCAGAATGTTGTACAAAACCTTTATTTGATCCTCTGCCAAAAGCGAGTATAATCACTCAACAGGTGAACGCAGCTGTTGAACCTGAGCACCTGTCTTTAATTAGTCTAGATCTTAAGAAAAAGTGAAAAAAAATACAATTGAGCGCCTGCATAACTGCATTCTGCAGTTATGCAGGCGCATAACTGCAGAATCAGTTATGCATGATTCATCAGTTATGCATAATCAGTTATGCAGTTATGCATGATTCTGCAGTTATGCAGGCGCATAACTGCAGAATCAGTTATTCATAACTGCAGAATGCATAACTGCATTCTGCAGTTATGTGGTCGAGGCCTCAGTGGACGTGACTCTGGGAACACACAAGGATTTGTCTGTGATTTGCATGAGATTCTTACAAGCGTTGGTCAACTGCAGAGGCGTGACGCAGAGTGGTGACTGGCCAGCCTTCAAGGTCCTCCCTAGGAGGTGTGAGAGACAGAGAGAGACAGAGAAAGAGACAGCAAGAGAGAGAGAAAGAGAGAGAGAGAGAGCTACTCTACCCATCACCTGCCTCTCCACCCTTAGGAGAGTACCCAAATGAGCCACAGGGACGTTAGAAAGAACTTTTTCAGTGTCAGAGAAGTTAACAGGTGGAATGCATTAGGCAGTGATGTGGTGGAGGCTGACTCCATACACAGTTTCAAATGTAGATATGATGAGAGCCCAGTAGGCTCAGGAACCTGTACACCAGTTGATTGACAGTTGAGAGACGGGACCAAAGAGCCAGAGCTCAACCCCCACAAGCACAACTGGGTAAGAGAAAAATGTAAGAGAGACACAGCAAGACACAGGTATAACAGCCCAACACCTGGGAAGGATGGGACAGTGATTACTCTCATCCGGCTCTTTTGGTCCAACAGCATCCCACACTATCCCACACTATCCCACACCATGCCACACCATCCCTCACCATCCCACACCATCCCTCACCATCCCACACCATCCCTCACCCTCCCACACCATCCCACACTATCCCACACTATCCCACACCATCCCACACCATCGCACAGCATCCCACACCATCCCACATCATCCCACACCATGCCACACCATCCCTCACCATCCCACACCATCCCTCACCATCCCACACCATCCCTCACCCTCCCACACCATCCCACACCATCCCACACTATCCCACACCATCCCTCACCATCCCCACATCATCCCACACCATCCCACACTATCCCACACCATCCCACACCATCCCACACCATCCCACACCATCCCACCGATCCCCACCGGTTGACCCGGGACGCAGCTAACGAAGCAGATGGGGTCTTGGAACAAGCAGAGGGCCGCAATATACCAATGACAGGTGTGTGTAGGCACCTGTGTCCTCACCACCTTTGCCCTCCCACACCTGTGAGAGAGAACACAGGTGGGAGAGAGCTCTTTCTCAGCCTCCCCAACTCTCACTGTAAGTGAGAGTGTCACTATCACAGCTAAAGAGGTTGCCTATCTCACTCTCCTCTCCCTTCTCTTGATCTGCCACTCCGTCAAAAATCCAACCTGTTATTCTAACCAGAAACGTGCGAACCCAAGCAACCCACTTAACCTAGCGCGTCCGATGCATAGAAAACGTAAATATTGATGCACTGTTGCTTTTGATGGCTGTATTGTTAACATAACGTAAGAAATGCGACCTATTAGCGGACAATACCGGGGTGGGGGGGCTGGGGGGTGGCTGGGGGGTGGCTCCCCACCCAGGCACCAGCTGGAGTGGGGGGGGGGGCGAGGGGTTGTTAGTCTAACTGGCTGAAATAACAGTTAAACAGTTAACCGGTGTGCATGCATCCCGTTCTCTCTAGCACCACCTGGTCAACTACAATAAGCGGCAGCCATCTAGAAAAGCCCGGGGCCCAGGAGCTCAAGCCCCCCAAAAGACCCCCAAAACGGTGATTTTTTTATTTTCTCGCACTGTACAGGG